AGGACACAAGCCTCATTTGGACTTACTTTCCCTGTGCAGGTCCCTTCACCATCTCAGACCTCCTCTCCCATTACTTTCTCCTAATCCATCCGATAACAGAACCTCCCATCAAATGTGGGTTTTTATGTCCTCAAGGTAATGTGTGCAGGAAGTCTCTCCTGCCTTCTGGTTAACCCTCTTTCCTAGGGCCAGAGCTGAAACGAGCTCGGACGTGAGAGCCCAACCTATGAGTCTTTAAGCTTCATTAAACTTTTAAGCCAGTCCATTGAGGTTACTCTGTCAGCCTTTCGTAATTATGGATACAGAATGAAGGAGCAACGTTCACCTGAGCAGGCATCAAGAAGATTCAAATGCTTAATGGCTTTCTTATCCAAGCTCCCACATCCACATTGCTGTTTAAAAGGGAATGCTCGATATCACTGCAGCGCTCTGCCCATCAGCGGAGAGATTGAGATATACATAATTAAGTATTTCAGCTCTCCGTTGCCAAACCCAGTTGGTTAATGCAAGTGAGACTCGAGACGCACTGAGCCCGGACCCATCTCACCTAAGCAGAGACTGCAGTGCCTGAGCCTGAGCCTAAGACTGGGTTCACAGACTTGGTTCAGGTGAGCAAAGTGCCCTCAGCTCCCTCCAGAGCTAGAGGTGAGCTTCTCCATGGGGCAGTTCAAATCCTGAATCTTTAGATCTTGAGATCTGCCCTTCAGTCCTTGCAGAAGCCTACAGAAAGTGGCCTGCAAATTGAGAAGAGACTGTTCTCCCTATACCAAACACCTCTTACAGAGCTGGTGGTGCTGCACACGCAACCCACACACTGCACGGCTACTTACAGCATCTGGCAAGGAGCCTCCTGGCTCTACCTGCCAGTGGGTGGGAAGAAGAGAGAAATGCAAGTTGAGCCCTTTCGTCCCCCAGCACTCAGACAGAACTCCTAAGGAGTCTGTTTCCAGAAGGGCTGGATCGCGGGTGCTTTCCTCCTCGCCTGCTGCCTAGACTAGCCTCTCAAAAATCAGAAATGGAGAAGATGCCCCAGAAGTGTGCTGTAGGGCAGTCCCAGTTACGAGGTTAACATAGACATCACTGGGTGAGTTTTTGGGCTTGCTTTGACAAACATCCAAATTAGAAGATCTAACAGCCACTTCCACTATAAGCGTCTGAGAATTTATTTATCCAAAAGGCATCAGGATCACCGCCGCGGAGGCAATGGTGAACGTGGTGGAGTTTTCACATTGTTTTTCCCTCCACCTGTTTGAACACATTACTGCAGAGACCGTAACCATTTCGCACAGCTAAGACACTGTTTTCCAGGAATCGGCACAAAAGGTCAACAAATGCTGAGCAGAAATGGCAATTGAAACATCCTTGAAATTTAGCCGGGGGGGGGTGGGGGGTGGAGGGGGAGGAACAGACAACACTGACTCTTTCCAATAAAAAATGCCACATCTGAGAACTATCTTCATTTCCCTTAACCTATTTCTCTCTCCTTTCCAAATTTTTCATGCCAAATGCTTTCCTGAGCTTTACTAGCAAAGAGAAAATTCCAGCCTCCCTCTTCCTGCTCAGCTGCCTTGGGGTGATATTACACAGTGAAAAATCAACTTATAACGTGACCCCTCTGAATTCAGGCAGGGAAGAGGGAGCCCTTGACACACAGCGATTCCAGATTCATCCGAGGAGCTCTGCAGCGTAAAACCAGAGAGGAGGGCGAGCGCACCAAAGAGAGAAATTAAATCAAAACAGTCCTGAAAGCTTTTTCTCCACAACATGCCACTGCCTCTTGTGCTTTTTAAGACCCCACTTTCCGCTCTTCAGACGCGGGGGACTCTCCGCCTTGCCTGGAGCCATCTCCGGGGCCCGCAGCGAGGCGGAGATGGTGGTTATCATTCCAGAGGAATAGCCGCACCACGGGGAGATTTGGCACGGTGGCGGCGGGGGCGGGGGGCCGGGAGGAGGACAATGGCGAGAGGAGTGATGGTTGCGTTCAAAGGGATTTGTTCCGCTGTCAAGGACAGAAAGATCTCCCCGAGAGCAGCATTAGGAAACGAAGCCCACAAGGGAAGGAGAGGGGTAGGGAGCGGCCAGAGACAATGTACAGTCAACAGCAACAGGGAGGCAGCTGTGAAGGATCAATACCGGGCCCTGATGGGCTCGGGAAGCACAATTATGGGCCGAGGAAGCCTCCTCCAGCAGGCTCTGCCCTTCTAGGTATTTGCCCTGAGGACGGACGAGCGAGATGCCTCCGCTCTGGGCAAACCTTTCATCTGCGGCCGTGGAGCCCCGGCGACCCTGGGCCGGGGTTTAGAGGGCAAATCTTCCGGTTGCTGAAAGGCCACGGCGGCGGGAGGTGCTCCTGCCACGGCCGTTAGCAGAGGTGGAGCGGTGCTGCGGGGGGAGCCGGCCTTGCACCGACGGGCTCAGGCGGCAGGGCTTACCTCGACGGAGGCGCAGGGCCGCGGGGAAATACCGCTGCCCGCCAAGGAGAGCGGAGGGGATGGAGGAAAGCTGTTCTCCTGCAGATTTGTGCCTTGCAGGGCGACAAATTTTGGCATCGAGGAAGGCACGAGGCTGTACACCACCCGTTCCCTCAGTCTCTCCCTCCTCAGCCTGGCTGACTCTTTCCATTGCGCTTGGGAAAACTTGTTTATCTTTGCAACACAACCTCTCCGACATCGCCGGTCAAAAGTAACCCAAGGTGGAAAACGCAACGGCAGACATGACCAAAAAAATTAGGCAAATCTGGGAGAGAGAGAGAGACTGAGAACTAACGCCCTGCCTTCAACGCCCCATGCAACGTGCTCAAAGCGCCTGTAATGATGGACGAAGACTTTACATTTCCAGGCCTGTTTCACAGAGGAAGGAGCAGAGTCGCTGCTCAGTCGCCTGCAGGCTACCACCACCCCCCACAGCAGAACCAGGCGCTGAATCCCGACCACCTGAACCCAAAAGCCGAATCGTATCCACAGGCGTAGGAAATGCCGAGCCTCTAAGGTAGGCGCACACGCACAAGTACAATAACGTAAATCGTTTGCATTGACCACGTCATGATTTCACTCCTGTTTTGAGAAATATAAACTTCCCTCCTTCTGGAAAAAAAAAAAAAAAAAACCAAACCTTTGTGGAAGAAAATAACTATTTTCAAACAGTCGACCTGCAAAGCGTGGAGCACTTGAGTGACCCCCAACAGACTCAAGAAACTGGTCCTTCATTAATAAATGCCAGCAAAACAGATGAGCAAGACGACCAGAGTCCTGCAACAGTAAAACCCCAAATAAATAGAAAACAGTGCCACCGTGCAGATATCGTGCCACTGCTGCATGCGAAATCCTGGGACGGCACTACTCACAACTCATCCTGACCTCAACCCCTCAGCAAAATCTTCGAGATCTGGCTGTCCTTAAACGCTGAAATCCTGCGGTTACAGAACGCCTCTCCTGAGCAACTGAGGTTCGATGCTCTTAAACAAAGGAAAAAAATACAAATAAAAAAACCCCAAACAAACAAAACAAAAAACCCAAACGAACAAATAAGAAACAGACCTGGAGTGAAACGCCTGCCGATTTCACAGACGCACAGCCCCAGCGCTTGCAGTCAGCCTGGATTGCTCACTGAAAACACAAGGGACAACCTGGTTTCATACATCGCCTCTGAGGACAAACAGCATCGGGGAAAACGTATCTGGGGACTGGCTGGCTCGGTTCTGCCCCGGCAGGATTTATCAGTCTGCTTCCAGGTTATAAGTATTGATGTCACAAAAACAAAAAAGCATTACTGTACTTACAATATAGCCTAACCGTGGCTTCAGTCGCTGTCACATAAATCTCTGCAGTATTTGCAATTTCCGGGAGCCCAGTTAGTTCCTTTTTGCAACCCCTCATTGTGAAACCTATTACACACGCTCACAAATTCTAATTTCCCCTGGAAAAACACATTTCTAAAAACAAGAAAAAAAAAGTATCCCTTCCAAAATCTGGTTCAATCCATGTTTATTCCCCTTCTCAAGCAGAAGTAGGGCCTGCACCCTCGCGCCCCGGAGAGGTACCACCCCAGCGACGGAGGCCAACCCTCACCCCAAGGGCATCGGCTCCTTCGCCCCCTCCAAGGCAGAGGATGCTTTGGGTCCTCCTGGACACACTGGGAGCCCCAAAGTGGCTACGCAGCGTCGGTCTCGGCCGACGCTGCAGATTCGGCTCTTTTAAGGAGGTTTCACCCCGTTGACAGCTCCCTTCCTGCGAGCCCAGGTGGAGGCAGACCGCAAAGCGCTGCCTTCTCAGCGGGGCGCGCGGCCGCGAGGAAATCAGCCCCGACCGCTGCGGTCGCTGCCGGGCTTCAGCACGCCCAATGCAAGAAACCCAGTTCTGGGTTATTTTAAAAACAGGATTTGGAAAATTCATCTCTTTGCCTAGCGGCTGCGAGCAGGTGAGGAACCGGACACCCAAAGGCTGGAGAGCTTGGGCAGGAGAGGACCCAGCTGTCGTTCCAGCTGGTGGAAACCAAATTCACCTCGAAACAAAACAAACCCCCCTTTCTTCCCCATGCCACTCTCTCTGCAGCGCCTTCGCTGGGATTACGAAACCCGAAATGATTCAACCGGCTCCAACTGCTCCATTTAGGTCTACTGCCGGAGCAGGGAGAGACGTGCCGAGGGGGGAGAAAGAAAGAAAAAGGCAGCGGAGGGAAATCGCAGGACCGAAATAGGGCAGCAGAAAGGGTGGAAGGCGCCGACGTGGCTCAAGACGGGACCCCGCCAGTCCAAAGCTATCCCTGTCCCCACCACGGAGGGACAGATGACGAGTATATTTGGCTTGTTTGCACACAAGGCTGCCTCGCTCCCAAGCTGCCAAACGTCTCTCCGTTCCAGGCCTTTATATGAAACATTAATTGTAAGACGCAAATCTAATTAAGGGCAGGGGGAAGGGGCAGCTCGCCAGATCTAGTCTTTGCTCCCTTTCGAAAATAGCAGCCTTGCGAGCGGCGTGCTGGAGGACGGGGGGCCGTCTCACGTGGCCGAGACGCAGGCAAGAAGCGGCAACGTAACGTAGTTGCCTCGTGTTTCTGGAGCAAACCTCGCCGCGGCCTCCTTCATGCCCCTCTACTCACTGCGCACCGCTATTT